TTTTTTTTTTTTTTTTTTTTTTACTTTTCTTTTGCACAACAGTGAGTAAGGAAGTCAGCAAAAGAATCAAAGTGAATTCACTTGTTGTAAAAGATAGCTGGTTCACACACTTTGACATTTCCAACCTATTTTTGTCGCACTGAAGTGTTTTTTCTGCATCATGTTATATTGTGAGGGTGCATATCCGGAGGTAATTAGTCGGTGAATGGGGGATAAACTCACAACGGTTGTCTCTTTAAATCAAGCTGCAGCGTTGATGTGCCTTCAAGCCGAAATGGTAAGAACCATTCCACCTTTGCTGCAGAGTCGGACCTAACAGGCACACCAAAACGCTTCAAACGGTGCGACTAGTTCCCCTGTTAACTCATGGTCCCTTCCAAACCTTAAGAGAAACGCAATTTTTATTGTGGACATTTGCAAAGCAAAGTTAAATACTGGAAATACAGAAGATGCAACTCTTAAACTGTTTCCCTTGATTTTTATTTATTTATTTATTCATTTTTTCATCTGCAGAACTCCGTGGCAGTCGCCTCGATCCATCTACCGCTGGCTGGTCCGCCTGTCTCCTCCTCTGCGTTGCAATCTGTTGATAACTCCACTTGCAGGTTGCAGTTCATTCTGTTTCGCAATGGAAAACTCTTCCCCTGTACAGGGAATTCGTCAAACCTCGCAGACGATGGGAAGCGCAGGAGCGTCTCGACACCAGTTGCTTTTGCCAAATTAGGTAAGAGGAAATCAATTTTTATCTTTCACGCGTGTGATGTCAACGCAGGACCGAATGCATGCACACATGCGCGCGCGCACATACGCAGTCAAGACTGTATTTTTTTTTTTCTTTTTTTTTGCGCAACATGTGGATTGTATGAATAGAAAAAGGCTAGAGGGTGTGATCATATGAATGAATGGATGAAATGAAAACAAAAGTGGTCACATTAAATACAGTCTGCTGATGTTTGATGCGTGGAAGTAAAAACAGTCAACACTCCAGCTGCAGTAACTGTCCGAGACTTGCTTGTGTGCATGAATGGGTGTTTTTTTTTTTTCTGCCAAAATCACTGACAGTGTTTTTCACTCGGCTTTCCTTTTCTCAAAGTAGTGCTTTTCCTTCCAGATGGCTGCAGCCGCGGCAGCGCCTTGCACTCTGTTACCGTTGCTCTCAGGCACTTTGCGCTGGGTGTAGACCCCACCGCAGCCTACTGGGATTTTGACCTGCTGGATGGACACGGTGGCTGGAGGGCAGAGGGCTGCCACATAACCGCCTCTGGGGGCAATACGACCACTATTCACTGCAGTCATAACAAGAACTTTGCCGTGCTAATGGTGAGTAGTTATTTTACTATGACCCCCCCGCAACACATAACCTGTTTTCCAAATGCTTAGGGCCCATTACGGATCAAATCCACCTTTTTTTTTTCCTCCTGCTGTGGAGTAGACCGACTCACGTGTTTTAATAGAAGACCTTCAAAAGCTTCCTTTATTGTTGCTCCCCGGCAGAGGACATGGATTGCCAAAATGCTGTATGAGGATTTATTAACGTTGGGATCTAGAGTCTACACTGCTTTGACTAGAAGAGGAGAAGTTGTGCGCGTTTTACAGTCTGCCATCCTCTCCCAAGCTGCAACAGAAGCGATGCTCCGGAGAAGGAGTGCCCTGTCAGGAGCGAATCGACTCTGAGCGCAAGTGGTGTGCTAATTGGTTGCAACCATCTCGAAGCAGAAAAAGAAGAAGCACAAAAAAAAAAGAAAAATGCTGGACTGTACAGCTTAGCGTTGTTCGTCAGCGTCTCTCAAGTTGGTCTCGACGCTTCAAGCCGCGATGTTTTCCTCTGACGACGTCCCCTCTGTGTTCAAATTGATTTCATGAGGATTAGAAGCACCAAAAGCGCAATGGCAGCGCATTGCAAGGTCGCTCCTTAGACCCGCTGCTTCTGGTCCGCTTCTTCTTATCCTTTTTTTTTCCCTTTCTTTCTTTCTTTCTTTTTTTTTTTTGGATGAAGAGAAATCCTCCGGATGTTTACCGAAGAGTGGGATTCGTTAGACTGGGAGGTCAGTTCTCAGTGGAGCATGAAAAAGTGTTGTACCTTTTCTTAACCTGCATATTCTAAGAAGCCGCTCATCAGCTTCGTTAGTGTCGTTGGTGGAAACATGCTTGATCAGGGGTGAAAAAGAAAAGCCGCATTAGAGCAGGAAGGAAGAAAAGCAGCATATGATAAAAGCACGGGGTGCACAGAGGGGGAGACGGGGTGGGGGGAGGTGTCTGGAGAATACTAAGCTGTTGTCAGATGGTGAGCAGATGTCAGGATGTCATTGTGCATGTGTGTTTTTCACTCAGACACGGCGCACCATCAATGGATTGCGCTGTGACAACCGGAATGACTCTTGATCTGCTTTTTTTTTTTTTGGTCCGATTCAATTATAGTACAATAACTTCAAAACACGTTCGCCTGGCTGAGGGTTGTCATAGCGATGGTAGAAAGCCGTGATGAGAACGTCCACATCCCTGTGAGCCGGTGTTTGCACCGGGGATGGCGCGCGTCTGCTAATGCAGTCACCACACCCGCCTGGTCTCTGCAGTGCCCGAGAAAAGGACCCTTATTTACAGACCTGTGACATCACTCCTCTGTTAGTACCACCTTAAATGCTCTATGTTGCAACAATGATTCCCTTCAGCTCAGGACAGCCTCTGCAAGTACAAAACCTGTTGCATAATCTTTTCATGTCACAGGGAGACAGATTGTCAGTGCTGCCTGAGTGCAAGCTGGCCATTTACTCTCAGGGTGCCTCCAAGAATGGAGCTGTCTTCTGTAATCCAAGCAGTGTAAGATCTTTCCTAAAGGGAATCTAGCATAATCAGTTATATTGTGTTTATGTAAAAAGTTAGACAATGGGAGGTTTTCCATACAATCAGCACCCACTCTGTTGGTGCACCTTGCAATTGTCAGCTTGATTTTACTTTCAGAACTGGGTGCAAGGATTTGGGTCAGAAAGTGGAGAAAACAGTTGCACAATAAATGCACTGCCACCCTCAAAAAAATGGTTTAAAATGATTTTAGCTTTTTTTACATGGTGCATTATCGAGGTTTTGTGACCTTTAAAGAATGGATATTATTCACAGCAAGACCTGGTTTGGCTGTTTTTTCTTAAGCAAAGCTCAGTTCATGCTAAGAGCACCAAGGTACTCTAACAAAAAATCTCCCTCACCATTAATTTTCCACCACCATTATTGATGATAGAATGGAGGATATATAGTTTAAACATCAGCTGTAGTAGATTTTCTATCATCTTAAACCAATTTGTCCATTCTTGACTTCTCTGACAATGTTTTTTTTTTTTTTGGATACAGCTGTGGCTCACTCCTTATTTTCTTTTTTTTGTCAATTCTCTGTGAGCACAACACATGGTAATACATATAAATTTGGGGGATGTCATTAGTTTTTCAAATACTAAAGGCAACCTATCTTGGACCAACAACTATGCCACATTCAAAGTCACTTACTACCCCTTATGTTTTGTTTGAAATTTAGCAAGTAAACGTCACCATGTCTAGAAGCCTAAGCCTCCAGTACGTTGCTGGTATGTGATTAGCTGATTCCCTCTGAGTGTCTTAACAGCAATTGAACATGTGTACCTGTTAAAATATCCAGTTCACATGTTTAAGGCAGTGCCACCTGTTTTGTTTGCGTATTTACTAAAGCTATTCGTGGTGCTGTGTAAGTGCATAATGGTTACACAGGATATATAATGCCTTAAAGCTACTCGTGTATCTAAAAAATTACAATCAGCGAAACTGTTATATTATCTTTTTGTCCCTCATTACAGAAAGAAGAGCTCATAATTTTGATTTATTACACATACAGTAGAATATGTCAATCCGTTATTTCTTACAGATGTTGAAATTGCTGTTTCAATCATTCAATTTTGTATCACAGAGAAGGTTAAATATTGGAAACCCATAGCCTCATGAGACCATCCTGATCTCGCAAGGTTTCACTCGCTAATCAGTCTGGAGACTCTCCGTTGAAGAAAATTTGGAGCCGTTCACCAAACGAACGTCCAATCAGCGTTGGCTTTGAGGCGGGTTGAGGTGTGCACAACGAGAAGCGCGACAGTTCAGTCTAAAGAACATGGTGGCTTCAGCCGATGAAACTAGCGTTAGCGTGGCTATCAAGCAAGTTTTATTGGAATTACAGAGTATTTCTTCACTGAAAGAAGAGCAAAACACTGCTCTGGAGGCTTTTCTCAGAGGAAAAGATGTTTTTGCTCTTCTCCCGACTGGTTTCGGCAAGAGTTTGATCTATCAATTGGCTCCTCTTCGTCGTCGCTCTGTTACGTCATATGCTTCGTTGATCTGATTGGTTAATGTGGCCCGTCTATCCCCAACATAGGCCAATCAGCTAACCAGAATTTTCGCCCCTTCCCAAAATTACCTCTATGGAAGGTTAACAGATGGATATGCGGAACAAATCCATCTGGCGGACTCAGGTTAGGAGACCCAAGCTACCACACCCTAATCACCTAGTTAGCTTAAAACACCTGCAAAGGTTTCGTTAGCCTTGAAATGTCTTAGTCTGGGTCTGTAGAAAGGACAATCACTGGAATGGCAGCTGATTTGACAGATTTTTAGAAGAAAGTCGTTTACACCCTTTACCTGAAGGGCAGCCACACAGGGTAGCAGCCCGTTGTTCACATAATTCTGTATCAAACCATTTATGTAGAAAGTTGAGTGCAAGGAAAAGGTGCAGCAGTACTGGGATAACCAGAGCCTCGAGAGGACTGTCAATCAAAATTGATTTAATAATTCAGGAGTTTCACAAGGAGTGGGAATAACTTTGCAAAAATTAATAAAAACATGGTCTATATATATCCGGTACCTCATGCTAAGTCATCCCTGAACTATAGACCCACAGAACCAGCCTGAAGTAAAATTTTGATTTCTTTTTTTTTTTTTTTTTTTTTGGTGCCAGAATTTGGAAGAAGAGTGGATTGGCTCATAACCCATGGTGTTGGAAGTCCAGTGTACAGTTTTCCACTTAAAGTGGGTCCCCATATTATCTGCTGATGTTTGTCCATTTTTTAAAAGACACACTTAACAGCTTTGCGCCTGGAAACTAAAAACCGTTCATAATTCCTTCTGCTGACAAGCCTTATGGAGATGCAGTTTGGGTTGATCTGTATGTAAGGATCATACAAATGACAAGAAATGCATTTTTAAAATACACCCGTATGTATGATAAATCCCTAATGAAAGGTTCACTTTTATAAGAAATTTAATTTTGTCAAGATATTCTAATTTCTTAAGATCTACCTGATTTGGAAGAGGCAAACATCTATCTAAAATCAGTCAAAGTCATTGTATAGGTTCTATCACACATAGAACAAGTCATATGTTCTGTTTTGCTGCAAATGATTATTAAATCAAGATGAAATCTTCCAAAATTACTAAAAAACAGGCTCCACAAACCCATGCCTCTTATGAAATTACAGAAGGTATCGGACAATGAATCAGAGCCCCTCTGATTGGGTCCACTTATATGTTATATATTTTATTTGCATGTTTTTAATTCAATATTTTTCCTGAAATATTGAATCTTTTGTTTTGAAAAGCTGTACTCAAACATTTGCACTGTATAATGCTTTATTGCCTAAATTAAATTTGGCCACAATAAAAAAGGCTAAATCAAATAACACTTATGAAGAGGAACAGAGCAGATTCAAATAGACAGATCTGATTATCAAAGATTTTCAACAATATTTTTCAGCTGTTAAAATATTCCATCCTCCCTTCTGTCGTCGATTAGCATTGGTGGTTCAATGCCCATGCAGACTTGTTGGAGCACCCCATTTAGATCATCTTAATTTTCCAACTATGTTTTTGCTGCATCACTGAAAATGATAATAGGACGGACAGACTTATAATACCTCTAATCTTACAGATAAACCGGATCATACCGTTTCTACATTCCAGCAAGCACCTGAGTGAAGAGGCATGAAAGACATACATTACATTTTAGAAAATCAGAAGTTAACGAAAGACTGACGACTACTAATTTGAAAATGCCAATGGATAGTATCTTCAAAAATAATTGTTCAAAAAAAGCATAATTTGAAATGCTAAAACAGAAATTGAGGATGGATATTGCCAGAAGCCATTTTTGTTGGTTGAGATTACCTTACATTAAGCTTTTCTGGGGTTAATGAGTGTGTATGTTTTTGTATGCAGGCTCAGAGCCCAGCATGAATGTCCCTTGAGGCTGAGGATTGGGTTAGAAAAAATAAATAAATTACAGAAATCTTTGTAACTTACTGCAAAAGGAATTACAT